GTATCTAGCCTTAAGTGACACATTTACAATGCAACCTCTAGACCTAAAACTTAGGAAACATCACAGAAGAAGGGGACAAAAACAATGCAAGAGCCAGAGGGATGAGATATCTGCTGCTACTTTAAGCTTTCTAGATATGACAGGGAAGCCACACCAGTGAAATCTCCACAATATGGTAATCTAACAAGATCTGAATCTGCATATAATGGCAAAACCAGGTGACATACCAAAGTGGATGGGGGAAACTTCAGTATATCTCACCTCAAGATAAAGAGCTACAGGCAATCAATGGATGCTGAGGGAGGGAGAATCAATTTTCTCTAGGGATAAGCTCCCTGAGAAGTGATCTGACAAGAAATTGAGAGGAAGTAGGGTTGGGGGAAACATGGGAGGAGTTGGAGGTGGACTGGGAAGGATGGAAATGATATAAAGACTATACTCACGTATGATAGTCACAAAAATAAAATAAAATTTAAAAGTTAGAAAAGGGGGGGGAGAGAGAGAGAGAGAGAGAGAGAGAGAGAGAGAGAGAGAGAAAGTTATATTGGTTTAGAAGATGGCAGTAGTATAGCAGGTTCTCCTCTGGGGTCTATGACCTCTCCAGTCACAAGTGGTTAGCTAGGTACGCAGTACCAGACACGAATTCCTCCTACTGCGTGAGCCTTAAGTCCAATTAGAGGTTTGTTGATTACCCCAAGATAATAGTGTCATTACCGGGCTGGAGAGATTGCTCAGTGGTTAAGAGTACTGTCTGCTCTTGCAGAAGACCTGCATTCGATTCCCGGCACCCACATGGCAGCTAACAACCATCTGTAACTCCAGTTCCACGGGACATGACACCCTCTTCTGACCTCTGTGGGCATTGCAAGACATGGCTGCACTTGCATACAGTCAATACACTCATACATGCAGGCAATACACTCATAAAATGAAAATAAATAAATTTTAAAAATAGTGCCACTACTGTGCCACTTGGGGAATTTGCTGGGTCAGTTGATGCCAATGTTCTTTAATCAGAGAAGAGAAAATTTCTCTCTCATATTCACAGTAACACTGAGAGAAATCCTGAGAAACTTTAGTAAGCTGTAATGCTATGACAAACAAGCCAGGATTCAAAATACATTAGTATTCTTCTAGAGTTTCCCAGTTAATTAAGGACGTTACTTTAATAAAAACTAAGATTGGTGAATCTTCCATCTTTTGCTCTTCTAGCTCTGGTATTAGATTTTCTTATCTCAAAAATCCTCTCAAACAGCTGTAAGCTTCTATTTTTCAAATGTTTCATTACAAGTCACTAGGAAAAAATATATATCCTTTCTCTCTCCTGAGATGTAAGCAAGAAATAAATATTGTGTGGGTCTGTGTGTCTGTCGTGCTAGGGATTAAACCCAAGGTCTCATGCTCTGTGACTGAACAGTGCAACATGGTGCTTTAAAATAGTGAAAAGAGGCCACAGTAAACAATTTCTCTAATCAAAGCTGCTGTGACCTCTGTAAAGGAGTACTTAGGATTATTTGTTCGATGACTCTTACAAAATACTTATCCTGCCTTAGATACTGGAACCTCAAAGGCAAATGAGACAATTCCTGGTCTAAAAGTCTGTCTAGTGGTAAGAGCTGACAAGAAGATCTTCAAGTTTAACACAGAATGAATTGTGTTGACAGTGAGAGGAAGTTTTCCACTCTCCTCTGGGAAGACAGAGAAATAGTGAGGTGGAACCCACGAGAAGTGTGGGATATGAGGAGTGGGAATGGACTGGATGATCAGGGCACTTTGGAACTATCTTCAGGTATTGAACTCATTGTTGACGTTTTCCTCCAATTATTTAGTTCATTCTCACTTTCATCTTCTCATTTTTTATGGATAATTGTGATTTGCCTACACTTGCATCTCAATAAGTTGTTTGAGTGACTTCTTACTACAAAAAAATAAGGTATTTCACAGATTATTGCTTGAATTTTATACAGGTACAATCAGTAATATTTAAGCTGCCTGATTTTGCAACCATGATCTTACAAGGTCATTTTCTGTATAATCTATTTAGCACTAAATTTGTATTTTTATTGTTACACTGAAGTAGGACAATTTATAGCCCATAGAATAGTTTCATGTCATCAAAAATGTTGTTGTTGTTGTTTTTGTTGTTGTTGTTATTTTGTTGTTTGTGCCTGCAATATTTGGAGACAGGATCTCATTGCAGAGCCCAAACTGGCCTCAAACTCATTACCTAGCTCAAACAGTCCTTGAACCCCTGGTCCTCCTACCTCTGCCTCTTGAGTGTTTGGATCAGGGATGTGTACCATCCATCCACTTTAAAAATTGTTAAGTGAAGGCACTGATTTCTTTGGGAACTTATACTATCTTATTTATTTAATTTAAAGACATTGATTGGGAATAGAGATATAACTGTGTTATAAAGTGCTTCCCTAGCATGCTCAAGGTCTTGGGTTCAACACTTAGCACCAAAAGTTTTTAAAAAGGGCATTGATTAGCAGTAATGCTATGCAGAGGGGAAGTCACCTCAATATTTGAGTTGGTGTCAAGGTTGCTCCTTCAAGTATTTGTGTATAAAAATTAAGAAAACTGAGTGAAATGTGTTTGGGGTTCTGATATCTTTTGGTAGAATTAAAATCAAACAGTTTCTGATTTGATACTTTCTGATGGGATCATCAAGTACACTTCTGGCACTGTGCACCTGAGTACACTGAGATGTATAGATCTCAGATAATTTGACCATATAAATACTACTAGTTTGCAGTATAAACAGAAATAGAAATAAATTTCTTATTTTGTCTAAGTGAATTTGTTATGAGGAATGATAAATGTGTTACGCTCTCTTTGGGAGACTTAAAGAAAGTTGATGATTTTTTAAAATGTGTACATTAAGTACTTGCACGGTCTCCTTTATTTCCGGCATGTGAGGCTTGTTGACACTATGCTAAATAAGTCAAGTAAGTCTACAGGGTAAGAACTGTTATCAGCCCCATGAAGTTCCACAACTGTGGCACAGAGCCAAAGCTGAACCTAGGACTTTTTACCTCTAAAATGTTACCACAGTGATGTGCCACATGCCCCCTAAGGCTCAAAGTTCAGTGCTTCCCAAGGGTAGAAATCTTGCTAAAAGTGGAATTGAATGAAAGAATTTAGCAGCACTCTGTATTCAATACTTACTGCTCCAGTTCAAAATTATCATTTCCACATTAGATGAATAAACACAACCCTGAAACATTAATTTCTATTCTTCTCCATGAAGGCTATAATCTGACACTCAGACTTGTGTGCTTTATATGCTAGATGGACCTTTACAACTTTGTTATATTGTTAACCTTAAGCTCTGTGACGTTAAGGTAACATTTATGTGGAGAAAAATGCATACACGTCACTAGCATCCCCTGTGTACATAATGTGGTAGGCTGAGTAAAATGAGTTGCTTTTATTTAGAAACGCATAATGTTATTCTATTTTGACTCAAGGGTGTTAACTTTTTTACTGTTAGCATTAATTTGTTTTCTTTTAATTATACAGTTACTACATTCATTTTCTTTAGTAAGATGGAAAAACATCCCATTTGCCAAATGTGGATGGTATGTTCTTAGGGTCTTAATGTCTGGTCTCATTAGATTTCTAGTTTTCAGCTAGTAAAAGTTTATGAACTCAGTATTTGTTTATCTTGGGAGAATTTTGCCGGCACATTTTAAAGATACAGTTACCATTTTCCACAGACAATTTGTGCCAATATTTGTCCTTCATTATCTTAGCAACAAAAGTTTTTCAATTTGCAATCGTTTGCAGTTCTGATAGATTTTTGCCCATTCTTCCAAAAATATTGATCTACTACCTGCTGCATGTTTTTTCAAAAAATATTTTTTGTTCTTCAGCTTTGAAAGAATGCTTATCTAGAGAAAGCCTATGAATCAATAAGATTTGTTTTACATTTTCTAAAATGTTGACTTGAATTCTAATGCTAAGCATCCTCCAAAGATAGTTTTGTCTTATGATTGTATTACTAGTAAGTAATAACCATGGCAATTTACAGTGCTAATGATAGTGTTCAAAAGGAGACAGACTTGAACTTCACCTTCCCTATTTTAAAAACTGGCCCATCTCCTCATTGCCAAGAACTCTTATGAGAAAATGTCAGCACAGCACTGGAATTCTTTCTGATTTCTCTTTAGTTGTCTAGCTCTCCCAGAGAAAAATACAGTGAAGAGGAACAACTTTGTAAACTATTTTTGTTCTGATATATTCAGAAAATTAAAAATTAAAAACCAAATATTTTAATTTCATACTTTACTCTGGCCTTCAAACACATTTTCTTCTGTGTTGG